TTTTTACCGTTTGAAAAAGGCTATTTACCGTTCAAAAAAACTCTCTCTCTCTCTCTCTAAAAAAAATTGCTCTCAAGACAATTTCTTCACAAATCATTCTTATTGGTGTGATATACGAACATAAATGAATTTATCGAATGAAGATCGGGATAGCGAACACAGCGAGGTAAAAATTCCGTCTTTTCGATCGAAAAAACTGGGCTAAACATTCAAAAGCCCAACTTGGGCGCCCGACAGTGCAGTGCACGCCCACGACTTGGGCTTTTGAATTTTAAACCTTTTTTTTTTTTTTTTTTTAAATCAATTTTTTTATGTTTTTTTCAGGACGATACGACTACATTTGAAGTTGATCATACCGATTATTTTACCACTACTCAGTTGTTTGACTCAAAGGATGAGGTAGTGGTTTGGGTGAGGTTCGTTGCAAGAGGTCTTTTTGTGAAAATAGTAAAAAGAAGCAGTCCTAAAAAAAAGATTTTTTTGACTTGTGACCTATTCGGGGAAAAACGAGAATGTCCATCAACTAATCCAGAAGCGCGCCCGAGAAGGACCGGTAGCAAAAAGATAGGCTGTGGTTTTTATATTGTCGGAGAGCTACGATGGGATGATAAATGGGAGGTCAGAGTAATATACGGGAAGCATAATCATGTTCCGATATACAAGTCCGGGCATGGGATGAGTGCATTGTCTCAGGAGGAGGCGAAGATCATTAGTGATCTGTCACAAAGTCATGTGCCGCCCAAGAAGATTTTGGCTAACTTGAGACAAAATGGTTTGGGCCTCGATGCTTATTCAAAACAAATATACAATCAGAAGGCGAAATTGAAAAGACTATCTAGGGGTGACCGTACAGTGATGCAACATTTGATTGGGTTGCTTGAGGAGCATAACTATTACAAGTGGTTCCGCACTGATGAAACTACACATGCAGTTACTGATTTGATGTGGGCTCACCCTCAATCTGTGGAATTGTTAAGTAAGTTTCCGTACGTATTACTACTTGACAGTACTTACAAAACAAATCAGTACAAATTGCCTTTGTTGGAGATTGTTGGTGTTACTCCTGTCGGGAAAAATTTTACTGTTGCAGTCGCATTTTTGCGCCATGAAAATGAAGACCATTACACATGGGTGTTGCAAAAGCTGAAGAGACTTTTCCCCCCTCAGACTCTACCTAGTGCCATCGTGACGGATCGAGAGTTAGGGCTCATAAAGGCGCTAGAGAATGTATTTCCGACCGTACCTCATCTCTTATGTCTTTGGCACATTAACATGAATGTGGGGCGTCGTGCTTCAAGATGTCTCGGCAATAGTAGGCGTCGCGGCACGGCTTTTGTAGTTGGCGTGTGGCAAACTTTGGTAAAATCAGTGTCTGAAGAAGATTTCGCCAGGAATTACACAGCTTTGACGGACGAGTACGCGAATTATCCAGATTTGATTGAGTATCTCCAATACACTTGGCTCGTATACAAAGAGAAATTTGTAAAAGCATGGACGGATCTAATTTTCCATTTGGGTAATACATCGACAAGCAGGTATTTATTTATAAGTGGTTAAATACATATACTTAACTTACTGTCATGTAGTTTATTGAAACATAGCATATTCTAAACATATTAGGGTGGAGAGCAACCATAGAGCATTGAAGAGATGGTTGGAATCGTCCACGGGTGGCTTCGACACATTTTGGGCACAGTATCACTCAATGATGAAAGATCAATTTAACGAGATACTAGCCGATTTTGCAAAATCAAAGAGGATTCGGGCCCAGACGATCAACGTGCCCGTATTTAAAATATTGTCCAGTGGAATTGTAACACATAATGCTCTGCAGATGTTGGACGATGAGAAGGATGAAGACATAGACGGTTGCGTCTGTTATATGAGGAAATGTCTTGGACTCCCATGCAGACATGAAATTCGTGCAAAGATGAATGCACGACGTGGTGTGTTTTATGCAGAGGATGTCCACATTTTTTGGAGGACATTTATTTCGGGATTCGGGGATTCCCTAGATGAAAGTGTTGGTTCTGTTCCCGACCACAGGTCACAGGCTATTGGCAGGCTAGAAGGGTTAATGAATGATTTGCGTGAGCGGTCAGAAATTGAGATCACGGACGTGACAGATGCCATTTTTGAACGAATGCATCCCGGGGCCATGGAAATGAATGCGCCACAAGTACTAGACTGCCCGAGAGGTAGACCGCGGACGAACTCTACACAGAGGGATTGGTCAGGGCATGAGTTTCCATTATTTCCGGGAGAAGGTGAAGAGTCTGGACGAGGGCGAGGACGAGGACGAGGACGATCACGAGGCAACAGAGGGCGTGGTTCATCTTCTGAGAGATCTAGCCGTGGTCGCGCTCGTTCATCGTTTAATAATACACATATATTAATAAGCATAATTAATATAAAATGATGTATCGAATCGAGACGTCTACGATTATATAATACACATAGATACTTACATCTGACGGACGCATCGAATCGAGACGTCTACGATAATCTACAAGTATATCCTCGTCCTTAGGAATATGATGTATCACCTGCCACCGTTTACACCACGGCTCTCCCGTAACATGTGCGTTAACCATCGGAGGCCGGAAACACGGAAAATACTCATATATCCAACACTACAATACGGGAAATAATAATACGGCATAATTAATAAAATATGCAACAACAACAACAACAACAACAACAACAACAACAACAACAACAGCACCAACAGCAACAACAGCACCAACAGCAACAACAACAACAACAACAACAGCAACAACAACAACAACAACAACAACAACAACAATGCCCAACTGTCGGTACAGATAGGCCAATGTAGCCGAACCCCAAGAATACTCGCGAATCAGATTGATTTCCTCTAACAGTGGGAAAAAATCTGCTCTGACCTTCGATCCACTCTTATCCACGAACAACAACTTTCCGAGCAAGTATGCAATATATGCTCGTACTCGATACGCGGAAGGAAAGGTAGAATTGTCGCCATATTTCACCTCCAAATCATCTAACCGGGGTCCGCCACCATACCACCAATGCTCCATAAGTGCGGGGTCGACTCCGAAAGCTCTCGCACCAAGCTGGATCGCGTCGGCCTTATCCATCCAGACGTTAGGGCGAGTTCCACTAACTCGCAAACCCATGATGAAATGCACGTCGTGCAGGGTAATTGTCATCTCACCGAATGGCATGTGAAAACTGTTGGTGTCCGGCTGCCACCTCTCAATAAAAGCCTCTATTAATGGGTTATTGTGCTGAGGCAGCGAACAATCACGCAAGTGATACAAGCCGGTACTCTCAAGTAGTGAGACACAATCATCGTCGTCGGGGCCCGGCCAAGTACACTTCGCGTGCGACCGTAATTTAACCATATGTCGTCCCTGTTCAAGATATATTCATATATAAGTATACCACAAACAAGTGTAAATATTATAAACAAAATTTATTAATATTAATAAGTATTACCTTTCCCTCCCAAATGTCGTAGGCAATATGTGCTCCAAAACTTGGAATCAAGTGAGCGTATTTAGGTCCACCGGGTGTCTCACCGGTCAACATCCAAGGTCGAGAAGGAAGTTTTTTTCTCGGAGCGGTGCGGGACCTCGAGGCAGGATTAGAACCACCGAAAGTACCACCCATCGGGACAGGAGGCGGAGTCGGAGTCGGAACATCCTCGTAATCGTCATCGGATGGAAAATCCGGCACCGGAAACTGATACTTCTGCTGAAAGCGTAGTTGTGGATCGTACTCGTACTCCTGCGGCTGCATATATGCATCCATGGGTGCATCCATCTCCTGCTCGGCCTCTGTCTCTGTCTCCTCCTGAATCATCGTACGTGGGGGTACAAAAGCACCAGTGCGTTCCCCACGACGTTTAGAACTAGTCACATTTCTATTATGTGTCCTTCCCTCCCGTTCCGCAGTAGTCTCCACCACCGGATCTGCAGGTGGACGAATCAGGGGTCCTTTCCCTTTTCCGAGTCCGAATTTTTTCGCCCAATTAGACATCCTGTAAACATAAAATTATATTAAATTTACTAACTTATTTTAATTCAGAAAAAAAATATTTCTTTTAAATCAAAAAAAAAAAAAAAAAAAAAAAAAAAAAAAAAAAAAAATTTAAATCGAACCCCGGGTTGGGGCGTTACCCGGCCGAACCGAGGC